CGAAATAAAAATGATTCGCATTCATACTCTACTATTTCATTAACCATATTTCATCCAAATAAACCTATTTTAAAAATTCTATCTACTCTGTATATAAATTCGGGCCTCAAGAGGTTTAAAAAAAAATAAAGAGAACAATTTTTTCAAAGCCTCCTCGATGGTGGTGGAATAACTCGAACAATGATTTATTCTTTATTTTTGACTCACCCTGTGTGTTAATTGAGTAATGGTATACAAAGTGCTTACACCCTTTACGAAAGAGGCTTCTTTTGCGAGCATTTTGTTTTTTTATTCATTGATTTATCTCTGGAATTTTTCGAATTACAGCTTTTTTGCTTATACCTCACGCTTATCCCACAAATTAAATTTATTGAAGGATCAGAGTACTCGAAATTGATTGGGTTGTACTATGGTAGGATCACATTGTCTTTACTTGATGGGACCTTTGCAGACCGATTTGTTATGTGATTTCAAATGAGGAATGGAAATCTACAACACGCCACGTTGGTCGTGACAAATGTTATGAGGAAAAATCGAGAAATAATTACAATTTTAAAATTTTTAAATTTAATTGTTGTACCTACTGGTCTAATAGAGATATCTAAATGATTCTTGCGCTGATCGATAGACTTATGTATGTACTTCATAATGTCTATTCAGTAATCCATAATTTTTGAATAACATTTTGAAAAAATCACATTATTCACTTCCCTTTTAGAAATTTCAATAAAATATTTTTGATTTATCTCGCTGAAACTCATACATCGTTAATCCAATACAGATATTTTTTACACCAAAAACTGCGGAATTCGTTTCTAAATATTTCGTCCCGCTTATGTATAGATCTAGGTAGAATGGTAAATCAGCTACAGGCAATTGAACGCAACGGTACTCACTGTTCTTCGTTGCCCCGCCGCCATCCCTCAGCGCTTAGATACCCATGTTAATCGTGCCTGATGCCATTGAAATCTCCGATTGAAATACTGAACACTGAACTTGTGGTCTTTAGTAGCTGATTCTGCTTTAGGTTGAAATAATACAAAATAATTACCAAAATATGTATTTATATTCAAATATAGGTATGGATCGTCAAGTACCTATTTCTCATATTCCATTTCATCAAAAATGTAATCATTGTAAATATAATGCTTTACACAATTTTATTGATTTATATTTCGAAAAAGGTTTCAGCTTCATCAATTTCTACATGTTCTTCTCTGGAACGCCGTAGAGAAGTTGGCGATCTGGCTCTATTTTAAAGATATTTTCATGGACAATGCTCTTCTGAAATATCAACAATTGTTCCTCCCTTGGTAGTCCCCACGAGATTGATCCGTCGAGTTGAGGCTTCGCACCCCTTCGTGGTTACTTTGGGACCTGCAGAACATCTCTTTCCAAAGATTTGTTCATCCAACGAGCAGCTAGGCTCTGGAACACATTGCCAAGGGAGGTGTTCCCCGAGGCATATAACCTCCAGAAACTTACGAAGAACACCAATTCCTACCTTAATTTCCTTGGTTCTCACGATGTTCTCTTCCCTTTTAGTGGGAACCAGAACATAAAAAAAAATATTATAACAAGATTTTCTGCACTTGCATTCATCAGTGCAGAACATTCCTTCTTTCTTGCATATCACTTGCCATTAATGCAGTTGGCATCATTGCAGTGTAAGTCTAAAATTTGTCTCACATTATCTAGTGTTTGGGTCAAACACATTAATTTTTGGAGTAAGTAATTGTGGCCCCCTTTTTTCTGTCAACCAAATTATTTCGGATCTTGCTGATGATACAAACCTACGCGACAACATTAATATTTGGTCATAGCAACAGATTTTTTGAATTTTTTCCATAGAATTAGCTTGGCCTGGTTGAGATCTTGGCAGGTCTCTTGTTTGTATAGGTAAATGGCAAATTCTCTAGCAATTCCCTTACTTTTCTCAACATTTTCAATTCGATCCAGACATAAGTTCTCCCTCATTTTTGATATATATATCTCATCCTGATTTTTTCTCAATCTCAAAAAACGAACTGGTTGTATCACATCCTGTTTAAACATGGAATGCAGGTAATCCATCGCAAGTACATTTTTGCTATATCGTAGATTGCATTAAATCTCCTTCTATTTGTGAAAGATGTACCATGGCCCTTCCCCATAATATGTATATGGTATTGGATCTAACATTATCATAATTCCAATAATAATACAGAAGAAGAACGAAGACATCCGTGTCATCTGACTTTATTATCATTTTATTGTGACGCTGATGGGAAATGTGGAGAATCAAACGAGTATCAGCTTGCTTTTGGGTGTATGATAAATTGACATTCATCATACAGGGCGTGGAAATGAATTCTGAATTGAGACTCTATCACGAATCTGCGATTAGAGGTCTATAAAAATCACAAGTTTCCATCGTTCAAGTTTGAACCCCCTGATTGGGTATGAAAGTGTTGAAAAGGAATATTCTCAGATAAATTATGAACATACAAAAATGGATATATATTTATATAAAGCAATACATTGAGAATTCGCATTCTCTATTGGATGAGAATATTTACTCTTTTTCAGTTAATTCAATAGAAAACAACTACTTTCAGAAATTTTCATATTTTATTTTCAAACTCTTATCGTGTGTGTTCAATAGATATAATTCAATGTTCGTCGTGGCATATAGCCAGGAAAGTAGTTGTTTTCTATTGAATTAACTGAAAAAGAGTAAATATTCTCATCACATAGAGAATGCGAATTCTCAATGTATTGCTTTATATAAATATATATCCATTTTTGTATGTTCATAATTTATCTGAGAATATTCCTTTTCGAGTATCAGCTTCTTCATGATTGCATCTCAAATGGGATTCTTCTGTAGTTTCAAAATGATGTATCTAAGAAATCACCAGATAAAATACAGTATAGTATTGACATATCGATTTTGTAACCTCCACTAATATTTCTGCATCCTCCAATCGTCCAGCAATAATAATCTCCTTTTTAGTACGTAATCGTAAATGAGGTTCGATAAAATATTTGGTGACACACTTTATGAGGGACATACCTTATATGCTGTCCTCTACTAATACTTTCGCTGCTTTTTATTGAATTTTCTAAATCATATCGATCGAATATAATTGAAATTGTTCGACATGTCTGATGATCTTTGAATATGCGAATCATGTTGTTCAGCAGTACTTCATCTAATTCCTGGAATGTTCTGAATGCCTATCAATTTCTTGTAGAAGTATCATGCCAAATATGAAACAGGAATCAATTTCTGGAGGTGAATCAAACATAGTCGAATAATATGTTTCGAATTTAGTAGCGAGATCGGATTTAGCAATTTTTATCATAATTCTATCTTCATGGAAAATAAAGACAGGAACAGCAGTTGATTCATAACTCATGATATCTGCGAAATCCATGTCCTTATATTGAGCTCAATAATTGATCAGAACTATCTGCAGTGATTATTTCACGAACTCCCAATTCATCATTATTGATACAAGTCATCCGTATCGAATAAAGGAACAATAAATACTGCCCAAGTTACAGAAATTACTTTATGACAGTTCCTATTTTATGTTGGCGCGATGGACGCCGGCGGGGTTGCCACGAGGAAGAAAACGGTGTGCATCATTGCGTTCAAATAGCTGCAGCTAATTTATTATCAAAAATGGATCTATATATATGCGAGACAGAATATTCGCAAAAGAAGTCCGCAGTTTTTGGTGTAAAAAATATTCAGAATGGATTAATGTATGACTTTTAGCGGAATGAATAAAATACATTTTATTGAAATTTTCGAAAGTGAACTGAATTATGTGATTCATTCAATTTTTTATTCAAATTGTGGAACAATGAATCAACATTATTGAAGTACATATATTGGCCTATCGAACAGCTGAAGAATCATCCAGATATATGTAATATTTAGATCAATAGTTACAGCGATTATAAATCAAAATTTGAAAATTTCAATTAATTCTCGTTTTTTTCTTATAACTTCTGTCTCGACCAACATGGCGTGTTGTAGATTTCCATTCCCAATGTAAAATTACATGACAAATCGATCTTCACGGGTCCCATTAAGTTATACCGGAATTTTGGGTAGGTCTTAAAACGAGCGATTTCGCTGCCTCCCCCTCCGCACTATGAGTTGTTTATTGTAGTGTGGTAGTTAAGACTGTTTGTCGATGCAGTTTTCATGAAATGCTGATGTTTTTATATTCGATAATCATTCGCACATGAGAGTTGAGGAACACAAGGTGAAACTTTCTGTGACCAATCATGATTGTTATATCATAACCAATCAATTCAAGAAAGATGGTGATATATTGGGAGGAAATCCAAAACGTGCCTCAATGGTAGGCTCTTCAGGATGCGGTGAAACTGATTGTATGATCAGTTTGCTAGATGAACCAAATGGATTGAGATTCGAAAATGTGTATCTGTATTCCAAGTCCCTGCATCAATCAAAATATGAATATTTGAAGTTGCTGCTCAAACCGTTGAAGGAGATTGGATATTTCAAATAGCATAATGAAGAAGAAGTAATTACTCCGAATGAAGTAGCTCCAAATCCAATTATTATATTCGATGACATAGCCACATGCAAGCAAAACATTATCAGAGATTTTTTTCGTTCTGGACAACACAAAAACAGATGTATTCTATTTATGTCAGACTCATAGTTTTATACCAAAACAATTGATAAGAGATAATAGCAACCTCATCATCATTTTTAAGCAAGATGTCATTATGAGGGTGTCTTAAAATTGGAACATATACTTTCCGAGGACTCATTTCATGGGACTCCTAGGTGAATGTGACAATGACATCCTTCCAAAGGGTGAATAATGAAAATGGTTTTAATATTCAGCAATAAGAACATAAGTGGATAATACTCACATAAATTATAATATTCAAACATGTTGGTAAATTGTTTTCTACTTATTGATTTACACGTATGTACCTATACGTGAATAAAAAAGTAATGGTCTTACCTGTAAAGTCAAATTCTTCTTGATATTCTTAGTCACATGACCTGTAGATTTTTCGATATCTCTTCTCTCAGTCTCAATATTTTCACGTAGTGAACTTTCTCGTTTATGTAACCTATATACATCTCTTTTACTGGAATTTTCCTCATTCTTGAATGTTTTTCTATTTGAAGGGCAAGGTACTTTCACCTTGATTTCCTCTAACCGCTTCGTTTTCTTCTTATGGCTTTTGAATTTTCTAGGTGTCTCATTTTCTAAAGTCAGCGTATAAGCGATGGCATTTCGGCTTCTTACAGTCTTCTTCAATTTGAACTGACAATGAAAACAATAATGTCCATTCTGAGATTTAGATTGTTTGGTGCAAGTACAATATTCTTCCATTCTTCGGAAACTGTCACTGGTGGCATTTGTGTCATTAACAACATCCTTTTCTGGACCTGTATAGCATACGGAAGTTAAAATTGGTTTCTTCCCTAGACAATGATGACACAGAGGATATTCCTGATTGTTGCTTCGCAGCAGAGAAACGTTTTCAATATTTGTTCTCATTTTACAACAAATACACGTGAGATCAGATGTAGCTGAATTTTCAGAAACGGTATTGCCGGAAGATGTTTCTGAAAAAGAGAAAGATACAATCCATTTTTGAAATGGGTACCTCATATGCGATCTGAATATTCACTGAATGAGGTGTAAATGAGCGATTATTTCTAATGTTAGAAATAGTCGACGTCATAGTGACCCCAACATAAGTATCCGATTCTTTTCAAAAAATTAAAATATTTGTACATTTGAATGAAATTGATCTTTTGAATTGAGATGAGTAATGTGTTTCAAAAGCCACATAAAAACAGCTGATTATATATCTCTTGATGAATAATTTTTCAAATACCCCGACCATGACAAATAAAGACCATTATTTCATCTTCTCAAGCAACAAATATTTCAATTCAATCGAACCGTAACCCAGACGGGGGGCGAGGCATAGATGAAAAAATTCGGGTAGTTCTCTGATTGTTTGTTAGGTATGTTGTATTTATAGGCAACCTCGCCAATGCGCCGGAAGTGCCACTAACGCCAAAAATAGGCGAAATTCTTGAACTTGTTCCAAGTTTTTGATGTTTCAGCATGAAAGACTGGTTTGACTAGAAAAAACATTTGGCCTATTATTTGACGGACATCAAATTATCCACTATTCAAAAAGAGAATCACCATGAGCATACAACTCCCGAAGTTACAGCCATTCAAATTAAGAGCAAATTTTGAAATTTAAAAAATAGGTTTCAGCCATTATTTACGATGTTCACTGTGAAGCGATGACTTTCCAGCAAAGTCGAATGGAACTGTCTTCAAAGATAAGAAATGGAATTTCAAATCGTAATTCAACTAGGGTTCTTGTCATGGATAGCTTCTGTGATATAGCTTTTGGAATTTTGAGCGCACTTCCAACAAATAAATAACATGAAATGTAAAAAAGAACAGTGTTACTAAAAAATAAGAGTTGTTGGTACAATTACATTGAATTTCCTCAAATTGTATGTAACTCACATGAAAGATTTCACATTCAGGTGTTGTGAAGTACCCTACACACCCTCTACGAGGTGCTACTGATTTTATTACTATTTTTGATTACATTAATTCTCATGATGCCATATTGCGTTATTAATTATTGCAATCTCTATTTTTATGCTGATGGTATTTTATTCGCGAATAAGCTTGCTGACTCCAAATGTTCTACATACCTACCATTTTGCATGTCATTTTTCTATTGGTCAATTACCATCACGCGACGGCGTCTTGGTGACACTTAGGCGTCTTTATGCGTCAGCTATAAAAGTGGAGATTGTTAGAATAAAAGGTAGATTATCACTCGACACCGCACTGAATGTAATTCCTGTATGCCGAGAATGTCAACCGGCATTTTGTGGTAACTGTCGCAAGTTTTGAATACATCTTTTGTGGAACCAGAGATCAGTTGTGTTTTCTTGATTCTTCCAACCCCAACTACAACAGTGGTGTCAGGTGTTTTGGGTGTTAAATTCCAGCGAAAGAGCTGAAATTGTGGATAACCGGCGTTAGGTGGTTGAAAGTAAATTTCAGCGAACAGCCGCGCGTTAAAAGTATCCCTTTTTGCTGTTGGAATACCTACGTAAAAAGTAGTTGTTGGGCATCGAGAACACAATCTGTTCCACAATCATCGTAGATCGTCGCTTCAGAGCATCCATCTTCATTCATCTGGATACCAGGAAGTGCATAGTGTTAGTGTCAAGTGTTAATCCGCACGCATCGTCATAGATCTTCGCTTCAGGGCAGCCATCTCCTTCCATCTTGATATCAGGAAGTGCAAAGTGTCAGTGGCAAGTGTTAATCCACAGGGATATCCAAATTCGTCATCATCATTAAGGTATTCATATTTTTGTAACATTGTCCATTTATTGTCTAATTTTTGTATCATTTTTGATGGTAGATATAGCTAATTTACATATACCAGCAGCTGATCAGGAAAATCAGCCCCCTATCGACATTGCAGATATGGCATTCACAAACGAATTTGCATTTAAAATGATCCCTGAATTTGATGGGAATCGAGAAAACTTACACAAATTTTTATCATGCTGTGATGTCGTTTGGGAAATTGCTAACACGAGGGCACAACAAGTAATGTTCATGCATATAGCTAAATCCAAATTATCTGGCCCAGCCTATAATGTAATCAAGTATAAAGTAATGGATGATTGGCCAGCATTCAAGTTAATTTTACAAAGTCAGTACCTTGAGCGAAGGACCATTGCTCAGATTCAAACGGAGTTATTGAGCGCACGACAATATCCCAACGAGGATGTTCGAGCGTTTGCTAATAGAATAGAAAAACTCACCATAGATCTGAATGACGCTTGCGTAGCTAGTGAAGGACAGAACGCTAGAGTAACTATAGAAAATTTAAACAAAAAATCATCACTAAAGGCTTTTGTTGACGGACTACGAAGTCCATTTCAGTTAGTTATAAAGGCTAGCAGGTTTGATGACTTCACAAATGCTGTAGAGGCAGCTTGTGAGGAGGAAAGAAATTTCAGAACAAAACAAAACTTTCAACCAACTTTCCATTTCAGAAATAAGGACAAAACGAAATTCAAATGCTATAAATGCGGCAAAAATAATCACAATTCCGATCAATGTTATGCAAATACTAGATTTCCTTCCTATCCGCGTCCAACCCACAATCCTATCAAAATTGAAGCAAATGTTAACAATATACGGCTGGAATGCCGATATTGTAAGAAACCCGGACATTCAATAGAAGAGTGTCGAAAACGGATTTATAACAATTCTCGGAGGAATACGAATGATTCTAACTACCAAAACCAGTCCAGTAACCTCGGCGTTCGGACCAATAATAGGAGTTCCAGTTCAAACTATTCTCAGGGAAACGACCAAGGGCCGAGCACATCCACTGGCGGTATGACTCTGGCCCGCGACCTCAAGGCCGCCAAGTAAATGAATCCCTGCATATGTCAAAGCATTCTCCCAGTAAAAATAACATCAGTGCATTGGGAGAAGAGCGACATCAAATCAACGAAGTAAATGAATCACTGTGTATATCTAAGCATTCTCCCAGTAAAAATAACATCAGTGCATTGGGAGAAGAGCAAATTTGCAGTAACTCGACCGAATTCAATCCAAAAGAAATAAATACTAATAAGAACCTTGAAATATTTACTGTTATAAGCGAACTTACGAACTCATCCTGCGTAAATCTTCCATTACAGCTATCATGTACAAAGTCCGCAAATTTATTGTTAGACACTGGATCAGATATCAGCATTCTCAAACTCTCTCAAGTTGATGACGACTGTTTCATTTATACCGACAAAACAGTAAAAATAAAAGGAATAACAAGCGAATGTGTTAGTTCTATCGGTGTAAGTTACGGCGAGATAAAATTATCAAACGATATAAGTATTACACACATTTTTCATATCGTTCCAGACGAATTTTCCATTTCTACCCAAGGTATCATAGGAAAAGATTTTCTGTCCAAGTTCAAAGCAAAAATTAATTATGAAACTTCACTTCTCTCAATTCCAATTTGCAACAAGATATTCACATACCAAATGACAAGTCCGTTCGAAATCGTGGTACCTCCCAGATCAGAATTCATAACAAAAATTTATACTAATTTCTCGCAACCAAAAATCTGCTTCAATAAGGAAGTTAAACCCGGGCTACATACCGGTAATTGCATTGTTGAACAAAAAAATGGTACTTGCACAATAAGTTTAATAAATTCCAGTGAGGAGTTTCAAACTTTCAATAGTTCAGAACTCGAGTTCGATGATCTTGAAAACTATAATGTGATTGATTTTATAAATGTTTCCGACAAAAGCAGGATATCTCGTTTAGAAGCACAGATTGACACATCCCATATGAACTTCGAAGAACGCGAGTCAATCTTAGATATTTGTCAAAATTTCAATGAGTTGTTCCATCTAGAAGGAGACAAATTGACAAGTACAGACGCAATTACGTATTCTATTCCACTGACATCAAAAACACCGGTATTTGTCAAACCCTATCGACTTCCTGAACATCAAAAAGGAGAAATCAAACAGCAGATACAAACTCTGTTAGATCAAGATATCATAGAACCCAGTCATTCACCTTATAACTCTCCTATTCTGATAGTCCCAAAAAAGGCCGATAAGGATGGTAATAAACGTTGGCGATTAGTGGTAGATTACAGAAAGTTGAACAGTATAACCGAATCTGATGCATACCCCTTGCCAAATATCACGGAAATCATAGATAGTTTAGGAAAATCCAAATATTTTTCAGTTTTAGACTTGGCAAGTGGCTTTCATCAAATTCCCCTCAGTGAAGACAGTAAGCCATGCACTGCATTCTCTTTCTATGGTCATTACCAGTACAAAAAACTTCCCTTCGGTTTACGAAATTCCCCCTCCTTATTCTCACGCTTGATGTCAAATGTTTTAACCGGTATACAAGGTCTCAAATGCTTTGTATATTTAGACGATATTGTGGTTTTTGGTAATTCCTTGAAGGATCATAATTCTAAGTTGCTGGACGTATTCAATCGATTGCGGCAATTCAAACTCAAACTTCAGCCAAATAAGTGTGCATTTCTGCGTAAGGAAATCAACTACCTAGGCCATGTTATTACCGAGAATGGAATTAAACCCGACCCTAATAAGGTCGTGGCTGTCAAGAATTTTCCAATACCAAAAACTGTAAAGGACGTGAAATCATTCTTGGGCCTAGCTTCCTACGCAAAAATAGCGTACCCCTTAAATAACCTCTTGAAAAAAACCGTTCAGTTCGAATGGACATCTTTGTGTGATGCAGCTTTCGCCAATTTAAAAGAAAAACTCATCAGTCCGCCCATCCTTCAGTATCCCGATTTCGAGAAAGAATTCATTCTCACAACGGATGCCAGTCAGTATGGCATAGGGTCAGTGCTTTCTCAAGGTGAAATTGGATCCGATCTACCCGTTGCGTATGCAAGCCGCACGTTAAATAAAGCCGAGCAAAATTATTCAACCATTGAACGCGAGCTCGTAAGCATTACATGGTCAGTACAACATTATAGACCATATTTGTT